TCTCTTAGACTTAGTTCTAACATCCTTTCAGACTAAATCTATAGTATTTATAGCCAAGAAAAGATCATGCCAACATAAAACCACAATACAGAAACGAAGAGACATTCGTTATTTTATTTTATTAAATGCTCAAAATAATCACCATTATTTTCGATACAAAGTTTCATTCTTTCTAACAGTTTATCGAAAGTCTTTTTAAACTCGTTTATTGGAATATTCTTCACTATGGTGGAAACCTCTTGAGCTAATGATTCTTCGTTTGTGTGATCCGTCAACTTGTTCTTGATATAATCATTTAGCCAAAAGTCACACGGTGCGAGATCTGGTGAATACGGTGGATGTGGAATGATTTCGATTCCTTCCTCCATTAAATAATCAATAACATCTGGATGAGTATGAGGAGGACCATTATCATGAAGCATTTTATATGTAGTACGTGATGACTTTTCCTTTTTTCTTATTTCATTGATAACAGGTATAAGACAATTATCAATATAGTAGTCATGATCGATTGTCTTGTCCTTATCTACTTTGTGTATGAGAAGAGAACCAGTGGATTTGAAGAAGAAGCAAAATAGTGTTCTAGGTTCAAATCTATTCCGACGAACAATGGTTCTTGGTGGTTCATTTTCGCCAACCCAAGTAGCATTGCTTGACTTTCGACCAATCTGCCTGTGATAAATCCATGTCTCATCACCAGTAATAACATCACATAAATGCCATGTTCCATTTCTAAATTTCTCTAAATTTTGACGACAAATTCTAAGTCGTTTTTGTTTTTGTTCGTCAGTAAGTTGATGAGCAACCCAACGTGATGTAACTTTTCTCATCTTTAGACGATCATGAATAATTCGTTCTATTGTACCACGTGATAGATCAGTCTCACCCATAATATCATCATAAGTTGAGTGTGGATCATCTTCGATAACTTGTCGAACGCGTTCAACATTTTCATCTGTAAGTACCGAAATCGGACGACCAGATCGAGGATCATCAGTGACATCGTCTCTTCCTTCACGAAAACGTTTCGCCCATCTTCTGACTGTTGGATATGATGGAGCATCAGGTCCCAATGCCTCTGTAAGTTCGTCAAAGATTGTTTTTGAATTTATTCCCAAAATAGCTCGAATTTTGATATAATATCGATTGAATTCATCAGTCATGTTTAATGTCTTCTTTTAAGATTGAAATCAAATTCTATTACGATTTTAAGTCGAGTACGGTACAAATGAACTAACAGCGAACGACCTCTCATTTATATATACTATCGAAATGTAATATTCTAGAACATGACGTCATAAAACGTGACGAGAGAGTGACCAATAGAAAGTTCCAGAATGTAGCTGACCATTGAACAAGAATTAATAATATTTGCATTGTCTGTAAAATTATAGATTTAGTCTGAAAGGATGTTAGAACTAAGTCTAAGAGAGAGTTGCTCTATATATTATTAAAGACGAGACGTTATACTATATATCGCCTTAGTAAAATATTCAATATTTATTGCTTTATTAAATTTTAAAAACTGTGATCAGAACTTTTGGTATACCCTAAGTATTTATGGTTCCGTTGTCTCCAATACTTCAACATCGCTGTGAACAAACCTACGACGCTTGAGCAATATCAGTAAGTTATTTATTTTGATATTTGATCGCTGAAATTTTTCCAAGATGGTTCTTCATTTACAATGGAACATATTGTACTTTGTTCTGAAGAAGATTCAAATTCTCACCCTCAGCTCGAGACTAAGGTACATGTTACAAAAGAAAAGCATGAATGAACTGTTATAGTTTTATTGACAACAAGAAAAAAAACTATTTACAATACATAAGGTGCTTTATCTTTTGTAATGATCGCGTGAATTTTACGACAGCTGTACTTGAGTTGGTCTTCGATGTTTGCTTGTCGTTTTCGCCCATGAGAACACGGCTTCACTTGAACTATATGGCCGTCGCCGGACCTGTATTGATAAATATGGAGTGTAACGCCGTGGCACACTCGTCGACTTTGATTTTCTTCGAATGTTTCGCTGAGCAAGTGTTCTTTTTCGATGCAACCGATAGTGTCACACGTATGTGAACCTATCAATAGTGAAACATTTAAAAAAATCCGCATGTTCAAATACAAACAAACCTTGAACCGAGTCACGCGTGTTTGATAATAAAGCGAGAGACGAGTCTTTTGATCGAAGGATGATATGGTGCACATATACAGTAATACTACGAATAGAATTTGTTGGAAAACATTCATTTACTTTATCTTTTATTGAGGGCCAATACGAGGTATTTTCCGAGTTAAACTTTAACACTGGATGCTTAGCGGGAGGATTCAAGAGATCTTCTTTGACCAGGCATTCCATCCATCCAGCAAAAAAACGTCCTGAAGTTAAAAAATATAGTCGATTTACAGTAACCAACAAAATATCCTACCGTCAAATCGTCCAACACTTGTCAACAGCTTTAATTCATCAACATTCAAGTTTCGCGAAAGATGACGGTGATTAATTAACCGCAAGTAATCATTTGCCTCCTTAATGTCTTCTATCCAGTCATCAACTTCATCATTCGAAAGTAAGTTTAAAAACCGATGCGTCTTGGGCAAAAGATTCTTGATTTTCAGACGAGATGTTTTCAAATCAGCTCGAGCCATGCAGTGATATGATATTGTAATATAAATGAAAATGTTCGACGAAGAATGAATGATTGATGTGCCTCCAATATAATGCTCTACTATTTATACATTTTCAACACAATGAATAGACGAAAATTTCAATCATGAACACATTTTCATATAATTTACACAAAATTTTTTCAGCCAACTCGTTCAAACACAAAATAGACCGAAACTCAACAAGAAAAAAACAATTATAGTTATACCACGTATGATTTATGATCAACTGGATAATCGAATCGAACTTCGAGAATCTGATTCAAATCAAGTCGATTATGGAATAAAAGTTGGAGTATCTTATTCAAATCAAGTCCATCATGGAATGGAACTTGGAGTATCTGATTCAAATCAAGTTGATCATGGAATGGAAGTTGGTGTATCTGATTCAAATCAAGTTGATCATGGAATGGAACTTGGAGTAGCTGATTCAAATCAAGTCGATCATGGAATGGAACTTGGTGTATCTGATTCAAATCAAGTCGATCATCGAAAGGAACTTCGAGTATCTGATTCATATCTAGTCGATCATGGAATGGAAGTTGGTGTATCTGATTCAAATCAAGTCGATCATGGAATGGAACTTGGTGTATCTGATTCCCCATGTGAAAATTTAAGCGAAAAAGCTAGCTTAAAGTAGCTTAAATTTTAGCTTAATAAGCGCTTGTAAGCGCACATTTTAAGCTACCTAAAAGCGCTTACGAATAGAAATCTAAGCGCTTAAAAGTACTTACAGTTGCACATCTAAGCGCTTCTAAGCGCTGAGTTTCAACTAACAAAGGTCTATAGATGATCGATTCTAATTGCTTTCATACTGTGTTCATATGTAAAGTACCATTAGAACAGCATAACTGTCGAAAGATTCCGATTCCTGTCCATGTTTATTTGATATAATGTCTCGTACCGAATTTCTTCAGAGCGTGCAGTTTCAGAAAAAAAATCATATTTTTGAAATTTGACTTCTAACTTTGTAAACATGAAGGGCTCGTTTGAATTATCTCATATAAAAAGTTCCATCATTTTGAAGATCGCAAAATCGAGATGAGTTTCTCAAAATTTATACTCTTTAATATTTTATGAAACAACTATTTTGAGAAACTCATATCTTGGCATTGCAAACTTCAAGCTGACGAAGCTCTGTATATGAGATAATCCAAATGGGACTTTTGCTTACAAAGTCGCAAATAACACTTGAAAAATATGTTTTTTTAACTAAGGAATTCTGTAGTAAACATAATATCAAATAGA